TTTAGCTGCGCCGCCGCCCACACCAGCTCCACGTGCTCGGGGGTCACGCGACCCTCCACTGCTAGGAACTTTAGGATCATGTGCGACTGCTTTATCACCTGTTGAATATGAATTAAATATAGAATTAGATTTAAAATTAATTATACATACTTTAAAAAAATGATTACTGTTCACAATCAAAGACATTTTAATTTATTATTATGGATTAAATGTTAAAAACTAATTTTAAAAACAAACATATAACTTGTGAAAATACTTATTGCACTTGAAATGTTAACTAAATGACCTAATTAAGAGCTTTAAAACACTCAATAAATTCCTTACCTCAACATGTAAATTTGGTCCAAACAAATGTTCAATGATATTGTTGTTAGTCAACCATGTAGCAAGTTGTTGACCAGCCAGTTCTGCATCCGATGCTGGTTCACCCGCACACATCTCATTATGAGCAGTAATATGTGCATTGATTTGAGCAACACCAGCCAGACGCATGGTCAGAGTACTGCTGTTAAAGTACTTAAAAGCCAGTGCCAAGCCATCACCATCAAAAGCTAATGGAGCATCCAAAGGCTCTTTAGCCGCACCCCACATAAAATCTGTAAAAGCACAGTACAAATCATTATAGAATAATTAAGTTAAAGCATATTTGACTATAAGAATCAAATTATATAATTTTTATTCAAATTGCAAAATTACAGAGAATCTTACCAGCCATTGACTTAACAGCGGGAACTCTTAAGTCTTTGTCTTCTAAGCTGCACATGTATTTTAGTATTTTACTTCTCAATGGCATAAACAATTGTGCTACAGCTCTGAAATTCAGCCATAATTTCAAGTTCCCAACAGCGGCCACTACAGCATGTGCCATAGATAGTGGCAAAGTAGTAGGTGTGGCATGTTCAAAAACCGAAGTCATAGCACATACACCACCTAGCTTACAAAACAGGCTGACATTCCTCAACAGATACGCAGGTATTTCAGTATCATGAAGGTCACAGTATGAACTTAAATTTGATATTTCTTGTGCTGATAGATTTTCCAAGTGGCTCAATGCTGAATGTTTACATGCCAAATATAATGGAAAATTGAGAAGAAAAATCTTGGAAACAATATGCAGGAGCTTTTCCTTCTGCTGCATTGACCATGTTTCTGTATCATTTGAAGAATTTTCGTTATTAGAGTTATCTTCAGTTGGTTGGTCATGTTTATCATCTTTACTTCCTGCATCTTCAATTTCTTGATCTTTTCTTTCCTGCTTATTTTCAGTTTTAGGTGGTGAAGTTTCAGTTTGCTTCTCTGTAACTTTTTTATCATCAGGGGGAGGGGCCTTTGCAGCTTCTATCAACTCATCCTTTAACAACTTCAGTTGACATACAGACAAACACAATACACTTTGGACCACTAAATAAAATCTCTCAAAATTTTTTACATCTCGGTAACAGCACATACATTGTCTGAAACATATTTACAACTCATGAATAATGGTTTAAAGTATTACAGAAATAAATATGTTTATGTATTTAAATACTAAAGTTAAATGGATAAAATACTGTTATATGTTTTTGAAAAGAGAAACATCAAGTATGTTCATCTAAAGGGTACTTAAAATTGTGACTTCTGTGTTGAATGGTAAGTAAATTTAGTGTTAAAGAAAAATTATTACCTTTGTGGCCACGAAAGAATGTAATTTAGAAGTACTTCCAGTTCAGGTTGGCTTATACTTGGGTATTGGGACACATCATCGGTTAATCGCGTTTCACCTACAATAGCAGAATAAATATAAAAAATTGCAAAAGATATAGGTTTGTGATATTACTTACAACATTTCTACGGCTATTCATACATGTTTTTAATTAATATAATATCGGTATGATTGAAAAGGACTACAAATCTTTGAAACAATGTAACTTACAATTCACTAAAAGATGTGAAAACTCGGAACAAACATCACACATCCTCAAAGTTTTATATTAAGATGGAGCGAAATATTATAGAAATATTATCGCCTCTGCTATTTCACTTGCAATATTGATCATTATTGATATTTTCGTATCAGAAAACGAACAGTGCCTTAGAAATGTCACAGAATCCGTTCCACCATTGTTGACGATTGTTGTCAGTCAAAACCGCGTTAAGTTTTCGCGTTTTTCACACCCATTTTAATGTTCAAAATAATTTAATAAAGTAGTCGCGGTCTCAACAAATTGTATCGAACTAAGCGATTTTACATTAGTAAATATTTTGTAAAATTAGTAAGTAAAGTTAGGATTGGTGCTAATTAACATTTTCCAAACACTTTTATTATTTTTGCTAAAAAAATTCTATAAATATCGGTTCTCCCTGGTCATGTCAATAACGATTATTAATTTTTCGCGGAAAATACTCGTTACGATAGATTTATTTACTTTTTCAAAAGTCTAATTCTATCTGGCGGAATTACTGTTCTGACATTTAAAAATCCTATATAGCAATAATATCTTTGTAGCAATTATAGCAATACCTAGATTAATGTCAATGTCAAGATCGACTGAGTGATGACAGCTGTTTTGTCTGATTAGCGAGACATGGGTTGATAACAATAAAAGCGGCTTTTTTGTAACAAAATGGTTCAGTTACTTTATATCGTAGCTAGCTTGCATATATTATTATGCCCCTTTACTAAGGTTGAAGAAAGCTTCAATATCCAAGCTACTCACGACATTTTATATCATCGATTTAACCTCTCACAGGTATGAAATCTAATTTTGGAATTCATATGCTGCGCGTTGAGATGTGTATATTAATATATTTTTCCAGTACGATCATAATGAATTCCCGGGAGTTGTGCCGCGGACTTTCATCGGCCCTGTCATTATATCTGCTTTATCCGCTCCTGTTGTGTTTATTTTACATTTATTTGGAATTAACAAATTCTGGATGCAATATGTAGGTAAGCGCCTTAACCGAGAATCTTCATTCTTATATTTTTTTAAGTTTTTATTTATATAAGCACAACAAAGTACTTTAATGTTCATGATTTTTCTCCAAAACATTGCTTTTTAATTTCAGTGCGCCTAACTCTTGCATTAACAGTAATAGCATCATGGAGCCGTTTTAGGGGTACTTTACAGAAGCAATTTGGTAGTTCGTTTGCTTGGTGGTTCACTTTAATCAGTGTTTCACAGTACCATTTTATGTTTTATATGAGCCGACCTTTACCTAACATCATGGTATTACCCTTTGGTAAGTGTTACATGTTTATTTACCCACTAGCAGTCACCGGCGACTTTGCTGGCACAAAATTAAAAAAAAAGACTCCTTTAATATTCATGTGTATATTTTAATTTCTGTCTTGTCATTTATTTTATGAAATAGTAAACATATCTTTTTTCAGTGTTACTTGCGTTAGAAGGATGGCTATCGGGAAAACATAAACAGTTTATTATTAGTGCTGGAGCTTCCATTGTTATATTTCGTTCTGAATTGGCAATGCTCTTTGGATTATTCCTTATTATAGATTTGTTTTTTAAGAAAATTGATTTTATGAGGTATGTAACACATATGTATGTACTTAAATATTGATATGACATTTATATGAAAAGACTTTACGTTTGTTTATTTGCCATTAAATTATATATTTTATTAATTTTATTTTTGCATTGTTCATATTTAAGTTAGCTAGAATATGACTTAAAATAATTAGAAAAGAAAACTATTTACACTACTTTTTATCAGCTATTATATATTATTCTATAAAATATTCAGTTTTGTTTTAATACAAATGTTCAATATTTTTTTATTTCAGATTTATCAAAATAGTTGTACCTACTGGTATAGGATTGGTGGCACTGACAGTAATAGTTGATTCATTGTTTTGGGGCCGTTTACTTTGGCCTGAAGCAGAAGTATTTTGGTATAATACCATACTGAATAAAAGTTCTGATTGGGGTGTATCCTTTTTATAAAAAAAACATTCATATAACAGCTTAATTACTCAATAAAATCTGATTAAAGTAAATATCTCATGTTCTATATTATACCTGTCATAAAATGTTGCCAGTTATTTTTATAATACATATTTAAATGTATACAAACCTTCATGGTCAATTTAATATCATAATTTTTTTTAATCATTTACTTAACTCATTATATAACAGACTTCACCATTCCTATGGTACTTCTACTCGGCATTACCTCGAGGTCTAGGGCCAAGTCTGGTCCTGTGTCCAGTGGGTGTGTACTTAGACCGGCGGCTGGTCCAGCTTGTAGCGCCTGCTGTGGTCTATGTTCTGTTGTTCTCCTTTCTACCGCACAAGGAGCTTAGGTTTATTATCTATGTGTTCCCATTGCTCAATACGGCGTCAGCTGCGGTATGCTCATATGTGTAAGTATCTAGTAAACGGAATAGTCAAGTCTTACGAAATACAGAAATTGTTTGATTTTACCAAATCTGAAAATAAATCATTGCATATTTTTTTAATTATTACAAAAAAAAATAGTACTGGTAAGTTATAAAGGTTCAATGTTAAAATAGGTTCTATTGTTTCAGATTTATTAGACGGACCAAAGCACCAACTTATGAATTATTATTTTGGGGTATTTGCTTGATAATAGTCGCTAATGTGATATTATCCATAGCGTTAGTATTAGTTGCTATGTCCAATTATCCTGGAGGTTTGGCAATCACTAGGTATGTTTAGATGGATTTAAATTCATCTATTAAATTAAAAAGCAGGCATAAAATCTTATTTAAGATAATTTCTTTCTTTCAGGTTCCATAAGCTTCTGAAAAATGAACCATACGTCCATGTACATATCAGTAATCTTGCGGCTCAAACCGGGGTCACTAGATTCACGCAAATCCACGACCATTGGACCTACAGCAAGAATGAGTCCTTGTCACCTGAACAACTGCTACAATACACACATCTTCTAGTCGAAGCTAAGAGCAAATATTCTCCAACTATCAAATCTTTCACACAAACACATGTTGTATTAGACAGCGTCGATACTTTCTCTCACGTGGCTGTCAATTATAAACTAATTCCACCTGTGAGAATTAAAACTCGACCAGCAATTTTTATTTTAGAAAGGAAAAATTTTAGAAATCACCACAGAGATTTCACTCATGAAAACGTCATAAACGTCGAAGAACACGAAATAATATCACAGGAAAAGACAATAATTGAAGTACCAAATTTAATTGTCATTAACGATTCCGATAAATCTATGAACGAAAACGATGAGACTGAAAATATAAATGAATATATCAGTAAAGATATTATGAATAATAGTAACGAAATTACTGAAGAGCCTACAAAAATATACGAAGAGGTTAAAATCGATAAATCTGAAATTATTGAAGAAGTGCAGGAAAAACCGAAGGACATTCAAAAAGATTTTAAATCTTACAGACAAGATAGAAAGAAGAAAGCAATAGCAAAAATTAAATCTGAAACTCGCAAGGAAGTTGTGGCATCGGCTAAAGAAAAATTAAGAGAAATAATGAAAAGACATAAACAAGTCGCTGTAGAGCTTTCTGAGAATAAAATACAAGATGAGAATGCAAGTATAGAAATAGACGGAAGAGGCGATATACCAGATATCGAAATAGTTCCTGAAGTAGAAACTGCAATTGTTGAAGAAAATGTTTTAACTGAACCAGAGCAAGTAAATGATCCAGGACAAGTGAATGATTCAGAACAAGTGAATGATTTAGATCCTATCGAAAATATAGTTCAATCAACAGATGCTAACCATACTAATGAAAACTTAGATGCTATAGTTGAAGAGGTTATTAACAGACTTATAGAAAGAAAAGTTTACGATGATAAAACAAAACCGGAAGATATCAAATTAGAAGATAGACAAATGATACAAAAGATTGTTGAAGAAGTACTTGCTGAAAAGATTAATTATAAATCAAGTTCAGAAAAATAATGTATGTAATTATTTAATATTAAATGTGATCTCTTACATTGAATGTTTTAGAGGTGTTACATTTTTTTTAAATGTTCAATTTGTGCCAATTTTTGGAGCATGTTTTGATACAAAGCACTTTTAAAACCAAATTACAGTTAACATGCCTCATACTAACTTACCTTTTCGTATGTATTACTCTAAAATGTTGTTATTATTGTGTGTAAGATTTACATTGTTATCTAATTATGTTGCTTGTTTTGGTTGCTGTCAATTTTATCGTGAATATTTACTATTGAGGCAATGTTTTTGTTTAGGTGTAAATTCACGATAGTGAGAGGTCAATTATTACGTTGTATTATTTAATGTTGTTACTTTTGTTTTAAGAGTGTATTTATGTCTTAACAAAGTGCAGTTGATGTTTTAACACTGACGCAATTTTTATATAGTTTTTGTGGAGTACATCATTGTATATATAATTCTTTTGTAAAAATGTATAGTTAAATCAATTTAATACAGCCCCAAATGTTAAACAATTTTGTATGATTAACCCATGATGTTTTGTTATACTAACTTTGTATTAGTAATGTTTCCACAGTACTATAATTTTCTGTTTTATAAGAACAATTTAAAAATAAGCAAACATTTAAAAACAGCAAAATAAATGTTCCTCATCGAAATTGCTTTATAATTTTATGTAAAGTGAGATTGTTATCCAAACAGCGGAAACACTCTTATAGAATAGTTAATATTAACTTTTCATGTGGCATTATAAATCTTGTTAAGATTTAATTCTGCAACTAAAGATGACATAAGCAAAAGTAAATGAGAAAATGAATGCATAAATAAAAATAACAATTTTAATATATAAACTATATTTAATTACAAAAACTTTAATAAATCTTAACTGTTAAAGAATTTTTTTCGACTTTTAACAATGTTCTTGTATCGAATTTTATAAAACTGTTTCCATTATAGTTATTTGTGACATTATAAATTAATTAATGACTAGTGGAACTTGTATTTAAAATCAAGTTTCTATCGTATGTATAGTTTTAAAGTAAAATGCGCAAATGACCTTGAAATATCTTCACAAACCATTTTAAAGCTGACAAACTTGAATTAATTAAGGTGAAATATTTCTTCTTATTTTTAGGTAGTATTAAAAGCACTTTTGTTTATCAAATTTGAATATAATTTGAATCCGGTAATAATATCAAAAATGTAAGGTCAATTTTACCTGGTCTTGATCACTTCGTAGCCAGCTACGGACTCCTTTTACTTCGTATGTAGTAAAATAGTAGAGTAAACAAGCACAATTTCTCGAACAAGTGAGACAGATTGGGTCATATAAGTAGAAGTCGAGCAGCGACATATTTTTATAGCAGGCGCAAGAAAATAGGATTCACGTTTAAAGAAACAGTGGCGACTAGCGGCTAAATGGAAATTGTATCTCACAGTTTCAACTGTTCAATTTAATATTCATAACTACAGCCCGACAAGGACATCTGACCCGGTGGGCTTATGCCCATATGATTATATCATACTAAAATTACAGCTCACTAGCGCCCTTCTCTCCTCTTCTTGATACTGTAGCTGTCATGTAATGATTTTTATATCATTTTCTATAGTATTTTGACAGAACTAACCTCAATTAAAGCGCCTCTCTCACCGGGTCAGATATCCTTGTTAGACAATAAGTCTACACATCGAGCAGTATCTTCCAGTCGAAGCGTCCTGAGCTGGAGTTGATGGATGGCGGGCATGGAGGGGAGACGACCTGCCAGGGCTTGTCTCGCATCGCCCCCAGCGCGCAGTATGGAACACGTAGCAAATTCTTACTGATCTGATAGCCTGACTCCGCACGCTTCTTTCCGAACTGCTTCAGCGCGTATACCATAAGGTCCAGTGTTGCCGCGTGACCGATAAAGATTATGTTACCACCTAAAAAAAATTTTTGTAAATTTTTAGAAGAAAGACAAAGTGATATTTTACTATCCTTTCTTGGTCTACTCAGTTCAGTTTTAAACATCGTACCAATAGCTTAGTTGCTAATTTATTTTTCTAGAAGTCAACGTTGCAATATTATTAACGAATTATATTACATAATTAAATTGTAATTCATAAAAACTTTAGTTTCAATTATCTTAAATTCTAAACATGAATATCACCATCAGCAGCGGTGTCTTTGACTGCGGAATGTATCACCAACTCGTTCCTCTTGTAGAACTGCTCCAATGTCTCTGATACTTCTGTGTCAACTTCCACATAGGGTTTGTATCTGCGAATAGAACAAATATGCTACATTATGATGTCACTAGAACATGACATAACATTCCGTAAATGAAAGGGCGGTTCCGTTAAATATCGTTTCTTAAGACGATAAATATTGGAAGTAAATTTGTAAATATATATTACTTTAAGTCGACGTTGTATCCAGCTTTGTGTAATTCTTTAGGTGTCATGAAGGGCGCCATGCCGCCTGGCATATACCAGTGCTTGAACTCAAACAAGCCCGGCTCCACTTTGATCTTCACGGGAGCTTCGGGTTGTAAACCTGGGAAAAACAGACACATTAATAACCGCACCCAGAGTCTTTTAGTGGTCATATTGAGAGCCTCTCAGAGAGATTTAATACGAAAACTCTACACCAGGAGACTACTTAAATTATCATCAAACTCTTAGTCTTAAGTCTGTTCGTTAGAAACTCTACAAAGATAGGGCGATTACAAATTCACTTAAAGGCTGCACTTATCAGTGTTACAGTCTAACCTTTCCCTTAGCGACCAATTAAGGATTTTATTTGGCAATAAGCTTGGTTTGAATCTATAGCCTACCTTCTAGGAAGCTGTGTGCAGTTTCCACAGAACGCAGTGCGGCGGAGGCGTATACGTGGGCGACGGGCACGCCCGCCAGCCGCAGCCCCTCCCCCACCAGCCGCGCTTGCAGCCGCCCCACGCGCGTCAGGGGAGTGTCCTTGGCGTATGATGCGCTACCACCAGCTCTGTAACAATACATACCTAAATTTATACAAACAACATTTTCTACTATGATTTAAAAGAATATTTGTCTTAATAAACAATTATTAACAGATTTTTTTTAAATAAGGGTGCAAATGAGAAGCGGGAGCAACGAGGTCCTCATCATAATGCCACGAACTTTACAAATGAAAGTGAACTCAGTGGACAGGTGGCAAACACATAATTGAAATAACAGCGCCCCCTAGTGACAGTCAACTTGGCTCATTATTGCTATCAATTAGACGCATCAACACACATCTTTCGTCGTCACTTGTCATAAGCGCTTAGAATTATTAGTTGTGTCTGACCTTTCCGGTAGATGCAGCGGCATGTTGAGGTCTTTGCGTATATATGTGTCGTTGTCATCGAAGCAGAAGGGCACCCACTGGCCGTATGTGAGGTCAACGCGCTCACCGTGCCTCATCGCAAACACCCAACGACGACTGTTGCTCTCTGTGCCTGTACTCGTCTGAAAACATTTAAAGTATTCAGTGGCCAGTGTTTTTAACTCAAAAAGAACTTACTGCTGTACATAAAGCCGTTAAGTGTAGATTTAATAACACTAAGGGGCTCTCTCAGCGACAAAAGACGGTGCCGAGTTCGGCAATCAATAAAAACTAATCTAGTAAAATACTCACTGTAATACTGTCTGAACTCTCCGAATCCCCTATTCCTCTACCTACGCTCGATTTCCAGTCTATACTTGTACCTAAAATGAAAAAAAAAACATTGGAATTGTGTCATGACTAAGGAATGAGTGACGACTGATAAGGAATGATTGATTCGAAGTCGAAAACTTGTTGTGCTGTCTGTACGATTGATAAGTGCGTCGGTGGCTCAGGGATTAAGCACTTGTAATCTGCGGGTCTTGGGTACAAATCCCGCCATGTATCAATGTGTTTTTTGATAATCGATTTACATATGTACATTAATCCGACGATCTTACGGTGAAAAAAACATCGTAATGCAATCTACTCATGTCTGTGAAAAAATTCAAAGATATGTGAGAAGTCAACCAACTCGCACTTGACCAGCGTAACTGACTATAGCCTAATCACCCCTAACTTAGGGTAGGCTCCGAGCTCCTTGGTAGGGATCTAAACTGAGCTGATGATAATGACATAATGGACTAAGGACACGAAGAGTCTGTTAGTGATTTGCTGACCCTGTGTTATGCGTAGTATGCTTTCGCTCCTGTCGTTCTGCACCTCGTGCCAGTACTTCTCCCACTCCTGGTACGTCTCCTCGGATTTCTCCTGCGCGAGCCCCGCAGCGTCTTCGTGCGGGTAGTTTGACATAGCCGTGTACGTATTCGTCTCAGAGTCGGATGATTTGCATTCTGCACCTTAGCAACAAAAAAATATAAGTTACAGAGATTCAGAGGTCATATTTTGCAAACAGTCTACTTGATAGTAAACGAGAGTGTCGTTGAGTGGGGTAGTGAGTGCCTATTCATATATAATTCACGGGCGTGATCGACCGGATAATACCGGTTAAACTTACTTGAAGTCAAGAGTAAATCGCAAGCTCCGCCGCTAGTTAAATGTGACTACTCTTATACAACGTAAGATGTTTGAAATTTCACGACCACGCCCGCTTATTATAATCAAGGACACAAACATCTTTAACGCATAGTACCGTAACAGATGCGGTCACATCTTACTTCTTATTAATATTATAATCTTACTAATATTATAAATGCGAATGGATTGATGTATCTCCAGAACATCTCAACGGATCTCGTTGAAATTTGCCATATATGTGGAACGTAATTTGGAAGAACAAATAGGCTATTAACTAATTCGGCGCAGACGGAGTCACGGGCGACAGCTAGTGTACCTATATATTTCAAACTTTAAAAAAATGACTTCTATTAAAGTACAATTTATTTAAGTTAAAACCGAGCAGCATATTTATACTTTGTTAAACGAATTAAACCTTGAAAATGTTTACTTAAAGCAATTATTTTTTGGTTTCCAATGTTTTGAATATCACACTCGTTTTACTTGGAATTGAATCAACCATTTATAAACCGAGTCAACTTCGATCGCATTAAAATAAAACTAACAAAAAATGTTGTAAACTTCTATTAGTTGAAAATAATGACATTTAAAAGGTTCGCCCTATTGGTTATTTTTTCCGCATCATCGTTTCGATGCTTACGAAATGTTCAAACTAGTCATATTTAAGGTGGAATTCCGACAAATTCGCCGATAGTACATTTTCTATAGCGGTATAATTTGACATTGACCTTGACTTTTGCCTAACACGCGAAACAAAACATGCAAAAAAAACCAAATCAACTGTCAATTGTGTAAACTGCGTGATCATGTCCAGATAGAAAAACAATCATTTTAAAATAACGAATCATAATTGAACTCTGAAACTTACCGTTTACAACTCCTACGGTCCATAAATATGTTAAAACTGTTAGTGTAAGCATTTTAATTAATCTTTAAAGGTTGAAGGACATTAAGGAGTGAGACTAAAATTTATCAGGTAATCAAGCGTCATAGGAAGCCACTATTACTAACAGATAAATGTTAGTAACGTATTTTTAAATACAACTTTTATCTACCTTCATTGAAATAATATTCATTTTTGGTACACACTACGTTCAGAAACTCAAAAAAAATCATAAACAAATATCCAACATAACGACCAGAAAAAATATAACTATGGTAACCAATAAATACATATATCAATTCTTACTTTGGTCTGCCATTTTATTTTCCAGTATTGCAGCTTTTAACACCGCGTTTACGTTAGAACTGATACAATTTCAAGGCGAGACTGAAAGTTGCCGTTTGTCAGCTGTCGCTGTAGCTCTCTACTGTTTCGCGCCGAAAAACGAAACGAGTCACCCCTCAATAGCACAATAGTGATGATTTCAGTAAAATAAAGATAACGTAAACAGATAAAAGTAACATCATCATGTTGAGATTAGGAATCTAATAAGAAGGAAAATCCAATAAGATACCAGAATTACGATGTCGAAAAGATAAATCTCAACAGCCAGTTTACATTTGCTCAAGAGTTTTAATTTATCATAAGATACTAGCAGTCGTCCGCTATTTCGTCCGCGCGAAATTAAAAATAAACTTAATTAGGAGCCATTGTGTTCTTAAAAAATTAGCTTCCTCTAATGACTGAAGAAAAAAAACTTCTGTACTTCAAAATTTATAAATGTAAAATTTAAAAAGAGGCAACTATATAGATAAGTGTAACTTAAATTTATCCGCGGTATTCTATTTTACGACACAAATGTTATCATCAATACGTACAGTTCTTGTGTCCTAGTGAAATTGCTCGGTGTAATGTCCAGGCGTCCGACTCTGCTGTTCTTTGTACGTAAATGCCCGGAAGGAAACCTGAGATACCTGAGAAAGAAAACAAATACGTTCTTCGTCTTTACTACTAAAAAGTGGAAAATTGTTTATTTGAAAGCGCAAGTCTCAAGAATTACTAATCGGTTTTCACAAGAAAGTTACCTAACCTATAAATAATTAATAAATATATCTTCCCTAAACTCTGTAGATGATATAATTCAATTATTTAAATCTTATTAAGAGCAAAGTAACAAAATATGTTGACAATATACATTACGTAACGCTCAATTATATACGAAACCATAAAACTCACCTCCGAATTTAGACCGGGCTATACGGAAAACATTTCCGAAGGCTAGCTTCATAATAACATTTAGCAGCGTCTTGTTTACCTGTCAACCACGATGTGCCGTGCACCCAACCGTCAACCGAGCCGTCAAACTGTGACTCCTCGATATAAATAAAATCTCCGATAACGAGTTCAAGTTCATCGGACGCCTTCGGCGAGTAACCTTGATTCACTTTATACACCTGTCAAATTATTATTTCATAATTTAACTAAAACAAATATGTATAACTTAAATGTAGGTGTTAGAAAAATACAAAAAAAGTGATTATAAATAAGTCCTATACAAATGTGTTAAAATGGTGGCATTTTTCGCATTATATTCCAGTTACTAGTCTAATCTTATAAGAATTTAAAGAATAACAAGGGAAAAACATAAAATATGCCACGATTTTTTTTGCTTATTTACGAGTCATCATGCTTATTTCTTCAATTTATATAAATAACAATTTACCTGATAATTATTAAAGCGAGGATCTCTAGAATATAGTCGTAGCTCCCAGTTGGCTATGTCAGGCAATTCCAGTTGACTGGCCAATGACTTGAGGGAATCAAAGGCCGATATATCAAAATGGTAAGCGAGTGTCATGTGCAACGACTTTACCAATGGGTCCAAGTTTTTTGCTAAAATATGGCAATAGCAAGATTAACTTTATGACTTAAAATTTTTTTTTTTTACTTCTATAACAAATATTTCTGTTTACTTATTAAATAATTAAAGACACTAAGTGATGGTTTATGAAAATTATTAATTTGTGTATCTGGGATCAGACGGCAATATTGTTCAATACAAAATGAGTGCAGAAAGAAACAAAAAGAGTAATCTAATTTGTAGGGCAGTGTAATGGAAGGGTTATTGCACAGAATTAATTAGTTAATATGTATATGACTTAAACTACTGGTAATTAATCCACTGCATAATAACATGCATTCAACAACAATACTTTACTTACCAATAAAATAAAACTTGTTCTATCGGGCATTTTAACATTAACTAATAACAGATTAAAACAAATTAAAACTAAAAGTAAACCTTAAAGTATGAATATATGTATATAAATAAATATATTATTAATGTAAGATATATGAGGTCTTACACATTGGCATAACATTTTTTGAACAATCCAATCCTGCCATAGCCTTCTGTTTAATCAGTTTTCCCATTTCAACTGTATGAAATTAAGCAATCTTAAAATCTAAACATTATTTCTTTATTTAGATGTTATCTCTTAAAAAAAATGAGCAATTATATAAAAAATGTCTTACTACCCTTAGTTGAAATCATAATTATCAAACAAACAAATATCTTTACTCCATTCTTTTCTTATTTTAACTTTTTAGCATAGCTTTTGCTTTTTGGCTAAGCTAGATTGCAAGCCTGTCTGTCATTTTCCTACCCTATCCTATATTGTTTTATTTTACATATATATTAATTTACCTTGAATTTCTTTTACATATTGTAAAGACAGTGCCTTAAAATAATCAGCATACTCTTCAGAAATGAATAGACCAATAAAATTGGGTGAAACATAAGTTTCTAGTTTCATTGGACAGCTCGGTTGTGGTCCCACTTTTTCAACGGCATGTTTCACTGCTACTGCCAGGTTTAAGGATTCCTCATCTGATGCCTGTAAAATTACATCTAATCATAGACTATGATTTTTTTTTCTTCATGCCATACAAAATATGTACACAATATTTAAATCCTGCCACCTCATTCGCAGATGTGTACTTAGAACTTATTTTATCATATAAAGGAAACATCAAACTTGAAACATACTTTAAAAAAAGGGACTATTGTTATATGGGGTGGAGCATTGTGTGCACCATTCCATCCACAAATACTTTTTGACTTCTCTCTGAATTCTTGTATCTGACTCAATAGTTGTCCGGTAGGGGTGACATACAAAATATATTCACGAGGCTCTTCCGAGTCGAGGGCAGTATCATTTACGTGAGTAAGAAGCCAATCTGATGCCAGTTGAACACTACGGTTTCCGGTCGCAGCTAACGCCTTTAGTCTGATTATAAATAGGTAAATTATTATCGCAACAAAAATGTTAATAAATTAAAAATAATCTCGATGTATCTATATTTACACTCTTTTCTTAGGAAATCCCATCTGTACCAGTACTTGATATGGTGAAATGTCTAGTTTTGAAGAAGCGGCAGACGTGGAAATCTTACGAGGCGGTAAAGAAACCATTCTAGATAATTGCCCTGAAAACGTACGCAACGTTCGTAGCATGCAATTGTAATAGTTTTGAATATATGGAGCATACAGAATCTGACTATTTATTTATTATCACTATTATGTGTATTTACCAAACATCAAAGAGCTTCAAGATATCATAAACATAAACAGGTCGCCACAGATAAAATCATCAAGATTTCAATTTTTTCTTGACGTCAGTGATTGGCAAAGATTCATATTTTGATTCAACATGTGCAATCTATGGCAAACGTCTTTAAATGTCAATGTCATATTTGTCATTAACCGCATGCTTTTATTGATTGTCAAATTGTGTTTTCGATAGTATCGTTCAACAGAAATAAGAAAAACTGTGTTTACTTTCTTCTATATATTACTTTGTTAGCTGTATAAAACATTTCCAAAAATGTACCTGAGATACTATTTGAACGAGAATGGAGACCGACAATATACACTTGCGGTAATGATTAGTTCATAAATTTTGTTTAATCCAAACATGTGGTGGAATACTTCTAACATAATATATCCTTGTTATTTCAGACAATCGATCCTAGTGGAAAACCGACATTGTCCGCTCACCCAGGTAGGATTCCAAATGATCAAATTAGTTTTCATCAAATACAACCAATATTACATACTGTTCCCCCTACCCTTATGAAACAAAACAATTTTTAGTACCCCTAATAATATACCAAAGTAATTTTATTTATTATTGTCATTTAAAATATTTCAGCTCGCTTTTCACCAGAAGATAAGTATTCAAGACAGAGAATAACAATCAAGAAACGTTTCGGCCTTCTTTTGACTCAGCAACCTGAACCTATTCATTGATTCTATAAAATATCTAGGCTAAGTTAGTGATAATTTACGAAACATGTAAAATGTAATAAAACGGATTACAAATAAACATCAAACATGACTAATTAATAAAATAAACTTCATTCTTGAAGCAATTTTTATAATATGTTTTTTGTTATCCTAACCCAATAATATAATAACACAGATCATCATAAATTTATAAAAAAACGAAAAGTAACTAATGTTTCTAAAATAACAAGTTAAAAACATAACAAAATGGAGCATTGGCGGTCCAAAGGTTGAGCACTTGATTTGCAATCTGCGGGTTCTGGGTTCATATCCTGCGATGTACCAATGTATTTTTCGATTAACATATGTATGTTCTTATGTTGAAGAAACACATCGCGATGCAGTTTGCATACATCTGCAAAAAATTCAAAGATATGTTTGAAGTCGACAAACTCCTACTGGGCCAATGTGGTTGATTATGGCCTAGGTAACCCTAACTAGCTGTAAGCTCTGATCCTTTTAAAGGGGACGTATAGTCAGCTGATGATGAATGAATAATTATTCTGTACATGAAACAAAAATGTAAGTGTTACAGACGTTAATGGAAAATATAAAATAAAACAATTGTTAATGTAATGCATGCATGCATAATAAGCATTCTTTTTCTACACTATAAAACTCAAAATGGTTAGTATGTCACACTAAAGAGAAAATAATATTATAAATATTAAGCTATATAATCTCGGTTTAACCCATTTGGATGCGGTTTATTCATTTGGATGGAAAGACTTACCTTTGGCTCGAAAAAGTTAATTTGACATTTGAATTTGACATATTTAAATTAAACGTCAACGTCAATTTTGTATTTTTAAAGGAAGACTCCGTATTACTTAAATAAAATATACGGTGCAGTGATCTATACTTATTGTTTTATTTAACATTATGGCGAAGAAAGGAGAGTTAGAGGCTTGTTGGAGTAAAATAAACTATGCTTTTCCTATCTTAAACGGTACAATATTTACCGAATGTACCAATGAAGAATTTGAAGACATCCAAGAAATCGTTATTAATTTAGGTGTACAAATTAAAATACGCGATTTAGTAATCATTCATATTGAAAAGTATGTTCGCCAAAACACAGTGCCATCTTTTTGGGCTAAGTTTGTAAAATCGGACGTGGAGGTCAAAGGATTTCAATTATTCAAAACTGCTATTAATGACTTATATGATTCGGTTACAAACTTCGAACCAATGTTACGAAAATTAAGCTTATTAAACAGTAATTGCTCTGATAACATGCCGATTTTCGGAGAAAGAGATATTATTCTGGGTTTTAAGCAACTGCTCCGTGCTACACTGCTAGCGCAAATACCTCTTGAATTCCAGTATATCATATACTTTTTTTATAAAGTTTCCTTCAATGTATTTGATAATGAATACGAAAATTCGGATATGGGCGAGGATGTGATGTGCTCAGGTTGTTGGAATGATTATTCAGATTGTAATTGTGCTTACATTGTCAAAGTGTTTCATGACACAAATCGCAAGCTTATGGAACTTCAATTATTAGAGAGATTGGCTGGTCAGGTATTGACTAACTTTATTCAAATGAGAATAGAAAGCCATATACAGAAACTTTGTACAGGCACATTTGATGTTTCTCACATAGCATTTCTAGAGAATTGGCTTGATACAACAGTGATGTCATGGCTTACTAGAATATACTGCGGGGGTTCTTCGAAACCCCCTCCAGATGATAAGAATGTTCAAAATGCCATTTCAAAGTTTAAGCAAAAGCTTAGCTATTATTTATATCATAGTTATACGAAACTAAGAATAGATCAACTGTTTAATATAATTATTGAATATCCAGATTCACAACCTGCTGTAGATGATATTAAACTGTGTCTCGACAAAACAGACTTACGACCAACACTTTGTAAAAATCTGCAGACTGCATTAGAAACAAGGCTGTTACACCCTGGTGTCAACACTTCTGAAATATTGACGGCATATGTGTCCACAATTAGAACATTGAGACATCTAGATCCTTCAGGAGTAATTTTGGAAACAGTTACAAAACCTGTACGAAATTATTTGAGGAATAGGGAAGATACAGTCAGAAGTGTGGTTAGTAGTTTGACTGAAGATGGAGTTGGAAGTGAATTGGCTGAAGAGTTGGCTAAATTTGCAGCTGATGGTGAGGATGATCTTGAAAAAGAAGACTTATGGGATGAATGGAATCCTGATCCAGTGGATGCTGATCCTAAAGCTAACTCTAGTGATAGAAAAGCAAGTGATATTATATCCATGCTTGTAAATGTCTATGGTAGTAAGGAGTTATTTGTTAATGAATATAGAACTTTACTTGCTGACAGAATATTGGGTCAAATAGTAATCAACACCGAAAAAGAAATAAGATATTTAGAATTATTGAAATTAAGATTTGGAGAGTCACAGTTACATTTCTGTGAAGTTATGTTAAAAGATATTTATGATTCCAAGAGATTAAATGCACTTATTCATCAAGATAACACTCCTGATGACTCTCAAATAGTGTGCAATGGAAAGATATTGTCTGCACAGTTTTGGCCTCCATTTAAGGATGAAAGCCTAGAGTTGCCAGATGTAATAAAGCAACTTTTAGAAAGGTATACAAAATGTTTTGAAGCATTAAAGGGCAACAGAACTCTAAACTGGATACCACATTTGGGAAATGTGGTGTTAGAAATAGAAATTGGGCAAAAGACACTAGATTTAGTTGTATCACCATTCAATGCAACTCTAATTATGCATTTCCAAGATAAGCCAGAGTGGTCTTTAGAGAAATTACACCAAGTAATGAAAGTACCAATTACTATTCTGCGAAGGAAAATAACTTATTGGCAGTCAATGGGATTAATTACAGAGAAAAGTGCCGATTATTATGTGTTGGTAGATGGAAATGATGCAAACAAATCCAGTGTTGCCACAAGTCAGGTTCAAGAAATGATTTGTGAGGATGAGGAATCGGAGAGTGTAATGGCGTCTGCTCATGATCAAAGAGAAGGGGAATTGCAAGTGTTTTGGTCTTATATTGTTGGTATGTTAACCAATTTAGATTCTCTACCATTAGATCGCATACATCAGATGTTGAAAATGTTTGCCTCCCAAGCTCCGGGTACAGAATGCAGCATTCAAGAGCTCAGACAGTTTTTAGACACCAAAGTGAGAACACATCAACTTGTACTTCAAGGATCAATGTATAAATTACCAAAGACATAAAATAAATAAGTTGAAAAAAGTTTAACAAAACTTTATTTTCCTTTTACATATAAAAAAAATTTGGTTACATTACTTAAATGTCTGTGGGTTAATCTGTATTACTTATTGTTAAGTGACAAATTCTAAGCCTTTTACAAAATGCGGCAAAAAATATATTATTATGGATTAACTGAAATAAATATTATATACCATCCCACATTAAATATACAATATTTTAATACTTATTGTTTGCAGCAATACATAAGCTTGTCAGTCTTAACACCTATAAAATACTGATTATAATTTAATATATCCAATAAATAATAATTTTAAAAACAACTTTTGTAGATACTGAAAAATAATACAATTTTCAATTAAAGGGAATGTTTGAATTATACGTGAAAAATTAAATGCATGATATTTAAGGTTATTTCATACAAAAGTTAGCATTTCATTTAAAAAAAAAATTAAAATATATCCATGGAATGTTAATTTTTTTTACTTATTAAATCTGAAAACTTTATAATATACATGTATTGGCGAAATTTGGCTAATATTTTACGTAAATTATATGTTAAATGTGAATAAAATTAAAAATACTTTTAGTTATGTAATTCGAAAGTATTAAAGCCCACAGACTGTCTACTCCATGTTGTATCTTGTAGCACCATACTTTATTTGTATCAACGTTATTCAAACTTGGAGTGCACAGATCTATTATCTAATTTTATTACAAAAGAAGCGTATCTATTTAGATAGAAATTAAACATTTTTAACCCCGAAACCATTGTTATTGTAATTAGGCCTTTAAATGGGATAAACAAAAAAAACTTTAGGTCCATTATAGGCTATAAAAAGTAGGTCTGTTTCTAGACTTGATAATATTCATATTAAAACAGCATAAGCTAATAAATACTTCCCATTAGTACATCGAAATATTTAAAGGACTAAAAATTACAAGAATTGTCTCTTTTACGAAGGAATAAAACTGCATATAATAACAGAACAATCTCAAGAAACAATAAAAATAAATATAATTTTACAGTAAAATATCTAAAACAGTTAAAGCTCTACATCTATCTTACATATGTACAGAAAATATCAGTGCAATGGTAGACATATGTTTAGTAAATAAATGTTACACTGTATTCTCACCGAAACTGACATACAACTTGTGACCTCTCAAGATATTAAAATGTTTCGGCTTAATTATGGTTACGTTCTAAGTGCCACTTTAAAAAGTCACACTTAAAAGTTTTAGTTTTTAGCCTCATATGTTTTTAATACATTTATTTCGATTTTTATCTACACTCTTAAAAATAAATATTTTTGATAAGAGATTGTAGTCATGCACCGATTTCTGAATATTTTTGTGGTTTAAAACTTTTGAGGTCCACAAAGTAATAATAATATGAAAAATAAATGGTTACCATTTAACAATTCAATAAACAGAAACTTTCCACTAGTTATAATTTCATACAATTGCCTTTACATTCTCACCATTAGAAATAATAATTTTTTAAAATTAAAAATAGAAGATCTGTGGTCAAATTTAATTTAATTAAAGATCGTAATTAACTGTTTGAAAGAATCTCGATTTCCGTTAATGTGCCAGTTTGATATTGAAAATAATTTTTACCACTTTTATTATTATAAGTTTGACAAGGAATAAAATTAACTGTATATCGAACTTTCAATATAATTTTTAGACTATTTAAGACTTTTAATACAGAAAGTTGACAGTACAGAGACTGAGAAAAGTATACATTTTAATGTAATTAGTTTATAAAGGTATTGTATTAAAAAAACAAGGCCTTAATTAGTAAACTTATATCCTAGATAATATTTAAATGCAAATGTATTTAAATAGCTTAAATAATAAATTATTAAGTACAAACAATGTTAAGTTCATCATTAGGTGCTAGAAATCTCTTGTTGGACGTATGTGTTTTAGTCATGTTATATGTGAGGGTACACGCAAAACTTGTTCTTAAACCTGTCTTTCATAACCTTCATTTAATTAAGATACTATTTCTTTTTAAATACTTTATGTATTCATAGATACATGCAGCCGGAATATCAAAAATTTTCCGTGGGATCGATTTATCCACCGTTTAATCGTATTAATGGGATTTTTCCATTGGGAAAAACCCCGAGAATTAGACTAATAAAAACTAAAAATACAATTTCAGCGGTACGATTTTGTGTAATAAAATCTACGCTTTTGTTGCCGAAAACTAAGATGTTGAATGTCAAATATAATTTATTGAAATACCATATCAATGGTAGGCGTAAATAAATAAAAAAATAAATATAACTAATATTTATGTTAAGAGATTCTATTATTCGCAATTATTATTCTTCTCAAATTTAATAATCATTTATAGTATCTATATTCTGATATGTTGATTTTTTTAAAATCAATATTTTTGTGATTAATTTACACAAGTTTGTCCGAGTTTAAGACTAAAACAAAGAATTTGGGCAGACAAAAGTTAAATTACGCCCGGTTTTTGAAAGGTAAAACTGAAATGTCAATTAATAGGTATAATTTATTTGATTTAAGACAATGCAATCAAATTGGTGTGAATGTTGGTTGAATAACAGTTAGGTTTTTCTTTTAAAAACGGAGCATAAGAATTAAAATATAGAATGGCGTAAAAGGGAATATAATTTGTCATACTAGCAGCCATCTCAAACGTTGCCAACCACGCCATGACCTTGACAATTTTTAGAGAGGAAGAGACATTACGAAAAGTAAACAAGATGGAAAGAGACGGATGACATATTGTCAAATCCACAGACGTTTTTTTAGGAGAATGACTTGTCGTATCGCTGCTAGTCGGCCGTACTTTATATTCGTTTATTTGGCTAGAGATTGGAATAATTACGTTATTCGAGTGGCGCTATGTATACGTGAGTTCACCGCGGTCTGCGCGACGAGGGCGCCTCGGGCGGTGCGGTTTGAGGGCCGCTGGGCGCGGCTTGCGGCCGCTTGAAGGGTCCAAGGCGTTTGGAGGGTCGCGGGGACACCGTGTGTGGTGCCCCGCCCCCCCACGAGCTCGCGCCGTGGTCGAGCAGCGCGGCCGCTAGTCGTCCGCTACCTTGATCTGAAATAAACATTGAATTTGATTTCGTAGCAGAAATATGTTTTTTTTTAAAGTTATAACCTGTTGAAAGTTTGTCCATATTTCGGATGTAAGAATGTGACATTAGCGAACAGTTTATAATGTTCGGTAAAAAGTGCTGGTTACTTACATACGTACTATGAAATCTGCGGGCACCACTCACCGGGCTGGTCGTGGGGCGGCGCCAGTGTTGGCGGTGCGGGCGGGGGCGGGGGCACGGGGTCCCGCACGCGCTGCACGAAGTGCTCGAAAGTGGCGGGTTGAGTGTGGTGCGCGACGAGGGCATCGAGGCCGCGCGCGCGCTCCGAGCACGCGTGCTGGTAGAGCGGCATGGTGGCGCGCACCGCCCGCCCGCCCGCGAACGCCGCGCCCCGCACCAGTGCCGCGCCGCAGCTCACGCGCACCACGCACTCCTCCCACAGAGGACCAAATACTGACACCTAATCAGCAATATTGTGTTTAAAATTATTACAAAATCATACTGATAGTAATTTATTAAAACCTAATAGGGACGGAACGAAAAGCGATGGATTTATTAGACAAATTTCATAATGATGTGTATTTAGTAATATAGGGAGTCTTACATCGGGTTTCCTGTTGACGGTGCAGCGCAGAAGGCCACCGGGCAGCGGGTAGAGCGTGATGAGCACGTCGCAGAACTGCGTGGGCAGCGTGTCGCGCTTATACGGCCGCCAGTGCTCACTCCACACTACGTGCACCTCGTCGTTGCCCAGGTGACGGGTCTAGCATAAAATATACGTTAAACAAATTACACCGACACACGCACTAATCTATTGCACTATAATTTACCTTGTTGAGTATGGCGTCGGGTGTATCGGCGGGCATGCGCGTTGCGACGTGGAAGAGTGCTTCGAGCGTGAGTGTGGCGACGTAAGGCGCAGAGACGCCGCCGCCGCCCCCACCGCGCAGTCCACCCGCGAATCCCACGTGCGACTCCAGCTCCACCTCACAAGTCAATCAAAAATTTAAATGAGGCACAACTGTGTACACTAATGAAGTGTAACATGATTTGCGTCAACTTGTTCACTAGAGGACACTGATATAAGGAAAATTTAACAAAGTGCTGCTTCTTCATTGTATAATTTTAGTGAATGTAACTTTATTCCGTAGTACATTATGCTACTTACCTCCCAGGCCAGTGCTGCAAGGAATGCTTCATATGCGGGGCTGCCGCAGCGATTCGAAAGGATCTCATTGCGCGTCTCCTGCCCCTTACCGACATATATAACTGCCACTTTATGCGTTTCACGACACCTAAAATTATTTACATAAGAACTTGTTTTAATCTTAATACAACATTTATTTTCCGTTTCTACTTTCCTCACTTTTGCTGGAAAGAGTAATCTTTGTTGTATGTTTATACGAATCAATGGTTAATATCAGGTGAAGTGCTTTAATTAGAAGGTTATCAGTTACCTCAAGGCGTCTAGATTGCGCAGTTCCCTCAGCAGCCTATCAGAACGGCGCAGCAGTTGCACGTGGGCGCGGCGAGAGGGCGCCAGCGCACCGCTCTGTGCCAGGAACTGCCTGCATAACTCGAACGGGCCGGCGGTGTTCGCACACCCAGACGTACATTCCTCGGCAGCTTCTGGTTCCTCGTCACTAAAGAAACACACATACATATTGTTAGGAAGAAAATCCAGCACAGTGTCAGTGTATCGGCACAACACTAGCCTTATTAGAATTTCAACTTTTATGTCCCCTCACAAATTAATCTGACATCTGACTTGGTCACGAAAGCGCGCCATTCGCTGTAATTGATTCTAATTAATAATGTCTAAAAAGACGTAACAGTGTTCGTAAAGCAAATAAAAAAAAACAGCATTTATCCCGGGAGACAGAAAGCTTGTCGTCTTATTACCTATCCCGCTGTGTGAGATATAGTCGTTCAGCATTCCGATGCGCAACAAGAGCTGCAACAAGCTCGTCCTCGTGTCCGGGCGGTAGTGGGGAGGGTCCCGCGCTGTCCAGTCGCCGCCCACACGTCACTTCGGGGGACGTGTGCCCGATGTATGCTAATACCTACACAAATGTTTTTAACCTTTTTAGTATTACCGAGTTGTTAACTTTAATTGTAAATAGTTTTAGAAATTTTATCAGTTTTTTTATGTAGAATAGTTAGCTATAAGATTGATTGTTTATAAGAATTTTTACACTTTTTTTATTGAAATAAAGATAAAACCCGCACCCCAGGTCCCTGACCCAAACATGTTAGGGGAACGAGAGGGCGGCATAGAGCCGCCCATAAAAAAAAACCTACACAAACTATTAAATTGACTGCCGCACTCAGAATTGACGCTGAGCGAGGGCTTCAGCGTAGATTTTTCATATTAAATCTACTGCTCTACTAGTGTTTTCTACTATATGCGCTCTTGTTGCTCTTGTCACATCAAATGCCGTGAATTAATACTTACGTGATCCAACTGATGTTTATCGGGCGGTGAGTTTTTGTAATCAGGTAGAAGATCTGGCGGCAACGGAGGCGGGAGTGATGATAAGGTGTTGTCCCTCGGGCAGTCAACACTGAAATAAAAAAAACAACATCGTGGCATTTGTCGTGATTTGGCATTTCAAGGTCACGTTATTAAAATTATGTTTAATATATTCTTATAAAAATATGGAGAACTGATCGCCAACCTTCGCTAGTCGGAGAGGCACCTCAAGAAGAAGAAGAAGAATATGTTCTTACGTGTCAGGTACGGAGAGTGACAGCACTTCTTCAGATGAAGTGACAAAAGGGTCGTAGTAAAGGGCGGAGGCGTCCCAGCACGCCTTGCCCGCTATATCACGTAGCAGGATGCGGACTTGCCGGTCTGACGTCATCAGACCTAAACATACATTTAATATATATAATACATGCAACAAACTTACAAATGCGAATAACACAATTTATATCTGTAAAACAAAAAAAAACATCGTATAAAGCATCCCCGTAAAGACATAACATTTATTTAAAAGATCTCAGTTTTCCTTTACGTATAAAAATCATATTGTTGATTACCTGGCGTAGTCCCACCGGTGGGCATATCAAGCGAGGGCAGTTCGATCAAGGAAGCAAGCGTGGCATCACTGAAACGCATCAGCTGGACATTTCTGGCGGCCAACACCGCAGGGCCCAGCTCGGCGCCCAGCGGTGGGCTGCTGTCGTGCTGCTCGCACACGCTTGACGACACCTGGCAACCACTCCACAGCGGCCAGTGGCCCAGGTAAAGGACCAGCTGAGTGCAGATCTGGACAACAAATATTTATAAATATAATATAAATTGCGATAATCAATTACAATAAAAAGGGCTTGTCATAGCCTACTGATATTGTAAAAGCGAAAGTTTGGATAGATTTTTTTTGTCAGGTCTGAATTAAATTTGAAACATGGATTATAGTTTGGAACAATTTGGAATATAGTGAACCTTTCTTGTATAATTAATTACATATGATATTCAAACGATGAAAAATGATAGATCTTTGATTGTTTAAGCTGTTGTTATTCTTACAGTTTGTGCCCAAAGTTTGACATCTATGGTTGAGGCGGGCGATGTCTTCGGGCCCAAGTTGTCCAGCTGAATGTTGGGATCGAAATCCTCGTCAACGGGCAACGACAGACCTTCTATATCGGAGCCATTTGTTCCCTTCATCACGGCATACAGAACCTATAATAAAAAATATTTTTACTTGATCGTATTATAATAATTATTTAATTTTAATATCATTTTAATAAACCTTTATAGCGAAAGGAGGTCAAACCCAATACAATAATAGTTAAATAAATGTATTATGAACCTTATTCCTGTGTAATTTAGAGAATAAAATTTCAAAAAAGTCAAGAATTGCAAAATTATTGCGAATAAACCAAACAATGCTTTCCGATATATGAATTTATTAGACGGTTAGCGGTACGTAATATTGTTTAGCACTGCATCTTTGTAGGACACCTCTCGCCTACTTCATTAGCACCATGTAGCTTGGCCGCGCGGAGAGATTTTGTCACATCAACATGATGCTGCTTAAAACCCCAGCGTCTTGTTGCAGTCGGCACAGTCACCAGCTGACCACAGCAGACAACAGTCCACTTTTGTGAACTCCATACAAAACAACTCACACACACAAAATGCAGAAATACGTAAGTTTTGCAATTGATTTTTATATAAAAATTGTATTTACAAATTAATTTTACGTTTATCATAAATATTTTAAGCTTAATGCTGCTATTACTGGAATGCCTAAAAAAATGTCCGTTGCATTCCGATGATTTATATTTGCCTAAGAAGTTGCAACCGAATTTTTTAGCATTTACCCGTCTTTTTTTAATTACTCATCGATCATTTTTAAATTTCTTTCTCAAATAAAAAAAAACTCTTGTATTAGCCACTAAGGATATGATAACCTATTTTATTTTTGCTATAATTATTTATCATTTTTGTTGCATGTAAAGGTGTTGTGCGCCCTTGCTCTGATCGCCGTGGCGGCGGCCGCACCCCAGCAGCCCGCCGAACAACACCCAGTCTACGTCCTCAAGCAGGAGTCAGACGTCGGCCCAGACGGTTATACCTTCGAGTAAGTACTACATTTTGTCAATATTATACAGAACTTGAATTCTATTATAAACTAGCTGTCGCCCGCGACTCCGTTTGCGTGGATATATAAAAAAACTTGATTAGTGTAGCATATGTGTTCTTTCAGACAATATTCTATACATATGCCAAATTTAAGCGAGTTCCGTTCTGCCGTTCTAGAGATATCTTTAAACACCCATCCATCCATCCACATCACATCCATCTAAACATTCGCATTTATAATATTAGTAAGTTAAATAAAAAGCAGCTCTTCAAGGTATAAATTCGAGAAAAAAAATTAATAAATAGAATCCTATGTCCGTCTCCTGACCTCCTCAGCATTTTTCAGCCATATCTGTAGAGCCGTTCTTGAGTTATAAATAGTGTAACTAACACGACTCTCTTCTATATATATATATATATATATATATATATATATATATATAAGAGAGACAAAGACATTACGTTAATTACATAACATACTTGGAAGTTATATGATATAGGTACAGCTAAATTGTATGTAAATACCAATGACCTTTGCCATTCAAGTAGTCGCTTTCTAATTCTAAGAATTGAAAATATATTACAACATTCGTTGTGTTCCACAGTTTCGAGACAAGCGATGGAACCGCTCGTCAAGAACAAGGTACGTTGAAGCAGGTAAGCGAAGACCACCAGGCCCTGGAGATCAAGGGTAGCTACAAGTACGTGGCTCCTGATGGTGTGGTCTACGCTGTCACCTTCACCGCTGATGAACACGGTTTCCAACCTCAAGAGCATGTGGAGCACCCCAGCCAATAGATTGGAATATAGCTTATAGAAATGTTCTAGAATATTCTATATGATTCCAATGCTAGTAAAATACAACTTCTAGTCTAATCTTG